CCCCAAAACCCCAAAACCCCAAAACCCCAAAACCCCGTGAATCAGAATTCCAGAAATAATGAGTAGTAATCATTTATAAATTAAATTAATATTACCATTCTAGCACTTTAGCAGTAATATATTTTATAAACATAATAATAAAATGGACGAGCAACGTTGGGAAGAATAAAGAAAGCAGCTACTTATGTAGCTCACTCATTCCATTCATAATTTTGGAGAGTTTAAAGCAATGAAAGACAGTCATAAGAAACTTGAGAGTAGAGTTGAAGGGATAGATTCTTGGAAAGCACATGTCGCTGGGCAGTTATAGAATGAATTAGTCTACCAGAAAGAGTTGAATACCCTAATCGAGATAGTCAAAAAGGAGTAAACAGCTATGATTAAGGTACATTTCGAGAACTATTAGAAGACAATTGTTAAGCAAATTAGCGGGAAAGTTGACTAGGAAGACTATAAGAAAGACATGCAGAATAAGGTCGAATCTAATGAATTCAAGAATGAGGTTCAGAAGCTTAAAAATACGATGCAATTAATGTAGGAGTCTGGAGGAAACGGTGGAAATAAAAATAGCATCAATAGTGGACTTAAGGTTCTCATTCGCTAGGAAACTGAGAAAAAGGTAACTATATTGTCTTGAATAATTCTTTGATAGGCTGATTTGGAATATGTAGAGGAATTGTTAAAGACAAAAGCTAATCAGGATTTCGTTTAGGAAATCCTGGAGAGACTTAATAACCTAGAGAGCTAAGTCTATAAACCCAAGACTAGAAGCAAGAGTTCTCACTACTTCCACGATTAGGATGATGAGCAAAGTGATAACCCCAATAAGGAGGAAATGCAAGAATTTCTTAAAAGTCCTCGACACCAATTATCTACTATCGATTCCCCAATTAAGTACAAACAATCACCCATTATGCCTACAAGCAATGTTAACAATAGCATGATGACCGCTCAGATTAACACTACAGTTATCAACTCTCCTTCTATAAGTAAGTTATATAATGTTTCATAAATTTTTCAATTAAACTTTCTCTCACTCCATATATGCTTTAATTTACCTTATAGGAGACAAGATGTCTGATGTGAGATAAAACCAAGGTATCATTAACATTCAAAAGCAGCTTGAATTGATTGAAGAAAGTAAGAAAAAAATGGAAAAACTCAAGAAAATTGACAAAGTTTGGAGTGAAGTAAACATAATGAAAAAGAAGTTTGAGGAGATGATGGTTAACTAAACCAGAGCCTATAGTTACTATGATGATAAACTTAGAGAATTCCTTGGATCTGTAGATTCAGTAGAAAAGCTGGAAAGGAAACTATTAGGAGGAATGTAGTAAATAGATCAGATCAAGGTGTTATAAGTGGCAATAGACTCAGTAAAAGAAGCATTCAACATTTAGTTTGAGGAGTTAAGGAAATCTTCAGTGCATAAGCTTGAATCATAACTATAGAAAGTTGTTCATGCTAATACCAGATGTGATGTATTAGAGCAGAGACTTTCATTCTTAACTGATCTAGTGAAGAGGCATGTACCTGGCTTTGAAAAAGAAAAGAGCTTACATGATAACTCAAATCATAACATCGAGAGTAGATTTAAAAACATAGAAAACAACCTTTAAACAGTTAATACGAATCTGAGTGGTGCTATAATCCACATAGATGAAGAGATCAAATCTATAAAGCAACCAATATGGGATAGTTTGCAACGACTTTCAAGAGAGAATGACTCATTATAAAGAGAGCTGGATAGACAGTAAGACCTATATCGTAAAATGGTGAGTGAATTCTAAAGGACAGTAAGTGATAAAAAAGAATCAAGGATCATTGAATTCTTTAGTGAACACACCCGATCTTATAATAATAGCCTATCTAACAAAACGAATGCCTTTTAATTGACCTAGAGTAGCAAATTACCTTCTATTGATTTCAACAAATAGGCTGCAATTATAAAATCACTGTCAACCTAGAATTCACCTAGAAGTTTCTCAGAAATATCGTAACTTGCTAAAGCTCTCCATGAGGTTAAAAGACTTGAAGTGAGTGAAGATAAGATTGCTTATAGTCTGAAGAAGTTTAATGATCTGAATAGTAGTACCAAAAAATCTAAAATCATTAAGGGCACAAGCAGTCTTGATAAGTATTCAGCAAGTGAATAAAAGAGAAAGTCATCTGACAAATATCTTAATTAGACTTCTATCGCCAACTTTAATTCAAGTAAGTCTTTTCCAAATTTATTCCATAATTTAGAAATAAATCTTGATGATCCAACTTAAATGCTGAACCCACCTTCAGGAATTGGGCACTATGGCCCTATGCTTGGTCGAGTTGGTCAAAATTTCCAATTTTAGACTATTAACAACAGTCTTCAGTAGCTTGATAACTCAATGGTGAAATAATAGCAGAAAAAGAAAAATGAAACCCTTACTCCTTCTCAATTCTTTAATGATGATAACAATAATGCTAATAACAGCTTTAATGGGACTAAAGATAACGGTAATAATATGGTCGCAAGTAATCAAGATATTGAACAAGATATTAAGATAAACACAAATATTTGATGAGAATGGATTTATTTCCACATTTATGATTAAGATTATGATAATTTCATTGATTAATACTGCATTTTTTTTAAAATCATTGAAGATGGGGTTTTGGGGTTTTGGGGTTTTGGGG